ACCACAATTTCATTATGATATTATAGTATTCCCTTTCAATATTTTTTTATTTGGAATGGGGTATCTACCCGATGCAACTTTAAAGGGAATGCTTGGCAGCGTAACTAATCTCTAGACAGAACCTAGCGAGGCCACCCACTGGCATCAAGCCCACATTTACTTTACCCACTGAAGAGGTAAGGCCATATTAGAGGGGATTCGAACCCGAGATGGGGGGTTCCCAACCGTGCTCGCTCACCAACCACCCTAAGCCTTGGTGGGTTTTCCTTACAATGTTGTTACCTTGCCATGTGGTGCATATTTTTATATAATATTAAAACATTTGACTGTGTTTTCAACATCTTAATATATCTCCTAGACAACTTCTGAATTTCCTCGGAAGTTTTGTAGAATGAAATGTCTTCACAATTTTGGGTTCCATGAAGTAGATAAATCACGCCATGATGATAGAGTTTTAGCTTCCCAAATATTGTAATTTGGTGTATATTTTGATGTTTGAGTTGGTTCTGTTAGGTATCTGACCTTCCCTATTCATTTAATCACGAGCATAACTTATTGGAACTGATCATGGAAGTTGACCCTAGTAAACTCGCGTTGAGTTATTTGAAGAGATTGATCTTTGTGGCTGGGAGTGCTTACTGTACCAGCGAGTGCTATTGCTTTTGTAACTTTGTGGTGCTGGTTTCGTTGTGGATGAACCATTGACCATGCGCCTTCGTGAAGAAGAGGTGGCATCAGGATTTGATGAGTTAATACCATGAACAAAAGCAGAGAGGAAGAAATGAACTATTTTCTCATCACAAACAAATTTATATTCATATTTTATATAAAAAAGAACGTCTCGGAAAACTATGAAAGAAATAAAATACAATCAATCGTAATAAACAGAATAATGTCTGGTAATAGCCTTCCATACTGGTGAAACCAAAAATTACTTCTTCCATTGCTGAAACTAGAAATAGGAAGGTGCAGTAACAGCTATTGGTGGAGATAAGGAATGACGACTGAGATTATAGAGGAAAAAACTGGGAAGGACTGCTATATATTCTTTTCTTCTAACCAAATTTCAGGCAGCCCATGCAGCCAGCTTCTCAGTATTGTTTGATTTTACTCCACAATCCACATCAATAACGAAAAGCCCTTCTAAATCTGTCAACAAGTTCTGAGTGGTCCTTTAACTTTGATATATTCTACATAAAAATACTAATCATTTGTTATAAACTTGTTAAGTGTTGCTGAGATGAAGATGCTTAGGTGGATGAGTGGCTTTACCCTTAGAGATAGGATACGAAATGAGCATATACGTGGTAAGGTTGGAGTAGCTATCATTTGTTATAAACTTGTTAAGTGTTGCTGAGATGAAGATGCTTAGGTGGATGAGTGGCTTTACCCTTAGAGATAGGATACGAAATGAGCATATACGTGGTAAGGTTGGAGTAGCTCTAGTGGAAGATAAGATTAGAGAGAATCGCCTTAGATGGTTTGGTCACATTAAACGGAGGCCTTCCGATGACCCGGTTAGGAAAGTTGTGATATTAGATTTGGCTTATGTTAAGAAAGGTAGTGGTAGACCTAAAAAGACTTGGTTAA